GCAGCCGGCAGAAAATGGAAAGAGACTGAAAATTGGCGGCTGTCCCTCCTCCTGCACCACAGCTTTTCTTCAAGCCCCAGCTGCCTTGGTCCACAGGCTCCCTCCAGCCTGGGAGACCACCCGCAGAGCAAGGCTCCAGAGCCTGCCCTAAGCCCAGGGCTGGCAAAGCTGCCACCCCGGCAGCAGCCGCTCACACTCCTGCCCCGAGTCTCTCTCTGGGCGTCTGGATGGAAAGTAGCACTTGTGACACAGACAGCAACGGGAACAGCAGCAGTCATGTCAGCGTGAAGCAAACATGGCATTGCTTAGAAGGTGCAGCAGCAAGGTGTGCTGGGGACCGCCCCGCACGGAGCCTAGATGATATCAGTCTCCCTCTCTATGCCGACGTACTTCAGGGCGTCTGCCTGGCTGTACCTACAAGATAGGAAAGTCACGGCTGCTGTAATGACCTCCCACGCTCCCCACAAACGTGTGCACAGCAAGCAGGGTCAACCCTGCACCCCAATCCCCAGCCGGCCGCTCCCCGAGGTACCTGTAATCAAAGAAAAGCTCCTCTCCTGCCTGGATGGCCCTCTTGGCAAAGATCCCTATCCGGTGGTCTCCGTTCACCATCACAACTGCAACCAGAGAGACAACATCAGAGACATGCAGCTCCAGCTCAAGCCAGGGGGTCTCGCAGCATTTTTGCCCTGCCCGCCCAGCTGCCGCTCCCCGGGGCCGCGGTACCCGAGCTCCTGCCTAGCAGGAACAGGGCACTCCCTGGGGAGCTCATAGCCACTCTCCAGCAGTGATCTCTCCTTGCGAGACCAGGGCCACCGCAGAGGCGAGTGGGGCCCTCACCAGCAAGAACATGATTTGCTGTAGAGAGGAGGAGACTTTGTCCAGGTCTTTGAAGCTCTGCTGCTCCTATGGGCTCAGGGTGACTTGGGACCCCAGAGAACCTGCTGCAATCCCCGAGCTGAGCAGGACCCCCAGAGAACCTTCCCCCACTGAGATCTGTTTGGGCAGGGATATCTCACCTTTGGCATAGCAATTGGGGTTCACCGAGTGATTGGCAAAGCGGATTTTGTTTCCTTTGCGGGTGGCGTCAACAACAAAATCTATTAGGAAAAAAAAAAAAAAGACTGTAAAGACAGGCCTGCTGCTCAAGCGACAGACAGGCTGAGACTGCCCACCTGGCTACCAGCCCCCTGCCAGGAAGCCCAAATCTCCTCCACCCCTCAAAGCCCCGGGGTGAGTTACCGTTGTTGAGGTTGAAGAGGAAGCTGGACATGTACTTGTCATAGACCTTCCCTCGCCGGTCAGCCTCATCCTGTGAAATCAGCTGGAAAAGGAGAACACCTTGAGAGACTCAGCGCCTGAGGGCACAGTGAGGATCACTTCGAGGAGCAGCGCTCACCTACCTCCTGGAAACACCCTCCCACCCCATGGGCTTCAGCTCACCAGGGCTCCCAAGGAGAGAGCAGAGACAAGAGCTGGGCTCCCAGGGAGCAGCATATACACAACGCGGTGGAGGGCCTAGAGGTACCGAGATGGGTCTAGAGGTACCGAGATGGGTCCCAAAATGATGCAAGATTCAATCTCTAAACCTGGTCAGAGTGAGCCCATGGCCACAGTCGAGCTGGGGAACGCACGTTGTCCCCGCTGCACCGGCAGCCGAAGGAA